TTCCATCTAAGTTCATGGATATCCTGAATTCTAAACATGGATCCTTTGGAGGAGGGTGGGTACATTGTGAATATAAATTTAAGACTCTTTTCTAAGTTAACAGTTCAGTCTTCTGATTTACCAAACAACCCAATCAGAACAATTTTGTCCATGTTCCTGTATTTTGTTTAGCCTGCCTCCATTTCCCCCCATGAGGAATCAAAGCTGCTTATTACTCCTGTTCTTACCCTTATATTATTTGCAGAGGATTTGTTGTATCTTTGATCTTAAAGGAGTGGAGTATGAGCCTAAACTCTTTATTAGGTTGAAATTCTCTGTGATGTTCCTTGACTATATTAGTGCATGTATAAATCTTTTGATGAAACCCTGACTTCATTTAAGTAGTTTATTCTTTGCTTATAGAAAAATACTCCTTTAAACTGATTTGTACTTTTATAGAAGTATTTTCTCATGTCTAACTCTTTTGCTACTTCCATGCCTTTCCCCCCCTCTTTTCTTGAATCATCTTTGAAGTATTTTTTATATTTACTCTCTCGCCTTTTTCTCTGTTCATATTGTCACTTTCACATCCTGAATCACTACAGCAGTGTGAATGGGGTTTTTGATTGGCAGGAGATGAGGGAACATCCATTGAGGGCCTGCTGTGTTTTAAACAGTCCCCTCATTTCTCAGTAGTCCTCTGAGGCCTGCAGAAGGTAAGTTCCTCAGGGTTATTTGTGCTGGAGCTGACAAGCAAATTCTGGTCAGACTCCAGTCAACCATGTCATGCTGCCTCCCTAATTGTTTATACTTTCAGGTGTGCTCGCTATAGTTCGCTAAATTAACCTTGCTCAGAACTGTTTCATGGTGGTGGTGGTTCTGTTCAGGATCTCTTAGGCCCACTGTAGTGAACTGATAGGTCTTAAACTGTATGACAGATCCGGCATATTGCCCTTGAGCTGTGTTTTTAGATAATATTTCTTCTACTCTTAAAATGAATCCTGTGTTCTAGGTAAGTCATTCACTTACCAGTCCTGCATTATGTTGTATTTCTTATGCCTTCTCTACTCTTTTCATGTGCTTAGCAAGAACTTTTAATTCCCATTTCTCTTCTCAAGCCTAAATTGACTTGCATTTTTCATGTTTACCAGTTTTGCTCTCGGCTTCCCTAGTAGCTCAGATGGTCAAGCATCTGCCTGCAGTGCAGAAGATCTGGGTTCTATCCCTGTTCCAGGAAGATCCCCAGGAGAAGGAAATGGCAGTCCACTTTAGTATTCTTGCCTGAAGAATTCGGAGGAACTTGGTGGGCTATATATAGTCCATGGGGCTCACAAAGAGTGGACACAACTGAGCAACTAACACACAAACTAGTTTTGCTCTCAATGATGATTTACTTCATTTTAAGGCTACTTACCCTATTTTAAGGTCACTTTATAGGTAAAAATTTAACATAGAGTCTCATCTTGAGTACTCCCAAGGGATGACAGTCAGCAAAACCAGCTAAATTTTACTTTACAGGTGAAAATTTGTATCCTTACATCCTTTGTTAATATTTTTGGTTGATTTTAGTTTTTTAAACCTCTCTATTGAGGTGCAATTTACATATGATAAAATTCACCCATTTTAAGTGCAATGCAGTGAATTTTGGCAAATATATAGTACTGTAACTATCATTACATTCAAACTATAGAATGTTTTATTGCTGCACATGCTTGTGCTCATATGTACTCCATTCCTCCAACTACCCCCAGTCCCAGACAACCACTGATCCGCTTTCTTCTACTCTACAGTTTTACTTTTTCTAGCATTTCATAAAAATATGATCATACAGAATTTATTCATTCGTTGATTATGGACATTAATCCTTTTACTAGCTGATGGACGTTCAGATTATTTCTCATGTTTTGGTTATGATTAAGACTGCTATGAACATCCTCTTACAAGTTTTTCTGTGGATATGACTTTCTTTTTTCTTTTTTTGCGTAGATACTTAGGAAGGGAATTGCTGGCTTGTGTGGTATGTCTATGTTTTTAAGAAACAGCCAGATTGTTTTCCAAAGAGGATGTACCACTTTGCAATCCCACTGCAGTGTATGAGCATTCCAGTCACTAGCCCTTGGTATTATCAGTTTTTAATTATAGTCATTCTATTGGCTATGTAGGGTTGCCTTGTTAAAATTATAGTTTAATTTCTCTGAAGACTAGGGTTTTTAAAAATTATTATTGTTTCTTAATGTTAACCTTAAAATTTTTTTTAAAATTGAAGTATAGTTGATTTACATTATTGTGTTTTTGGTGTACAGCATAGTGATTCAGTATTTTTGCAGATTATATTCCATTATAGGTTATTACAAGATAATGGATGTCCCTGTGCCCCACAGTAAATCCATGTTGTTTATTTTATATGTAGTAACTTGCATCTGTAATCTCGTACCCCTAATTTGTCCTTTTCCTTTGGTAACCACAAGTTTTCTGTATCTGTGAGTTTGTTTCTTTTTTGTATGTACAGTTATGCATATTTTTTAGATTCCATGTGTGTATAAGTGATACCATATAGTCTTTATCTTTGACTTATTGCATCAAGTGCATGCATACACATATACATAGCATCTTAATCCAGTCATCTGTTGATGAGCCTTAGGTTATTTTCATGCATATCTTGGCTATTTTAAATAGTGCTGTTATGAATATTGGGATGTATCTATCTTTTAAGATTAGTTTTTTTTTTTTTTCTTCTGGATAGTCCTTGATGACTAACTGGTGATGCTCAGTATCTTTTCTTGTGCCTTGCAGGCCATTCATGTATAATCTTTTGTGAATGTCTGTTCATATCTTTTACCTAATTTTTTAAATTGGGTTATTTTGTTTGGTTTTTGGTTTGGAGTTTTAAAAAATATGTTCCAAATCCAATTTCTTTTGTTAGATATTTTGGAAATACTTTATCCCAATTTGTGGCTCATCTTTTCATTTTTAAAAGAACTAGCTTTTGAAGAGCAGAAGCTGCTAATTCTGAAGTAGTACAGTTCAGCAATATTTTTCTTAATGGTTCAGGCTATATTTGTCCTATATGGAATTTTTGCCTGACCCAGAGTAACAAAGATTTTTCTCCTACTTTTTCATCTAGTATATTTATATTTTCAGCTCTTTTATTTAGATTTATGATTTATTTAAAATTAAATTCTGTGTATGGAATGACAGTCAAAAAATTGTTTATATGCAGATAGCCAGGTTTTTGTTTTTTTAGCATCAGATGTCTAAAAGAATGTGTTTCCCTCCACTGAATTATATCTTCATCTTTGAAAATTAATTGGCAATGAGTATGGATATATTTTTGGAATCTCTTTTCTGTTTTATTTATATTAGGGTCAACATACTAAAGTCTACATCTGAATTTGGCTTGTTGTCTGTTTTTGTAAATTAAGTTTTATTAAAGCACATTGCCATGTCCATTCATTTTTAGGTAATTGTGACAACAGCAGAGATAGATTTGTGTAGCTGTGACAGACTGTGTTCTACAAAGCTGAAAATATCTACCATTAGGCTCTTTATGGAAAAAGTTTGGCTATGCATGATCTGTGTATTTATCCTTATGCCAGAACTGCTCAGTTGATTACTGTAGCTTTTATAATAAGTTTTGAAATCAGATTGTGTAAGTCTTGAAGTTCTACTTTTTAAAAATGAGCTGGTCCAGGACTTTTGTGTTTCAGTGTACATTTTAGAATCAAATTTGTCAATTTATACAATAACCTGCTGGAATTTTATCTGTGAATCAATTTGAGGGGAATTTAATAGTATAAAAAGAGGTTTTCCAGTCCATGAATGTGATATATTTCTCCATTTGTTGAGCCTTTCTTCTGTATCTCTCAGTGATGTTTATGGTCTTTAGTTTATAGTCCGTGTACAACTTTTGCTAAATTTATTCCTAAGCATTTAATTTTTATCTATTAACGCTTTTTAAAATAAAAAGAATTTTTTAAATTTCATTTTTTAGTTGTGTGTTGCTGACAATACAGTTGGTTGGTTTTTTTTTATATTGACCTTATATACTGCAGCCTTGCTAAATTAACTCATTCTCCTAGTTCTAGTAGATTTCCTTAGGATTTTCCCACTACTATGATGATGTCATCTGTGAATAAAGATGGTTTTACTTCCTCCTTTCCAATCTGTCTGCGTTAATCTTGCCTTAACCTTAACACTGTTTAGTCCTCCAGTATAATGTTTCATAGAAGTGGTTAGCAGACTTTCTTGCCTTAATATTTGATCTTAGATAGAATCACTTAATTTTTTATCATTAAGATTCACTGTTGGTTTTTGTTAACATCACTTTATTTTTTTTAAACCATGAATGCATGTTGGATTTTGTAAAATGTTTCTTTGTGAATTTATTGAAATGATCATACAGTTTTTCCTTTAGTCTGTGAACATGGTGAATTGCATTCATTTTTGTATGTTAAACTAATTTTGCTTTCTTGTGATAAAATCCACTTGGTCATGATATATTACTTTTAATATTGAATTTGATTTCTTAAGGATTTTTACATTAGTATTCATGAGGGTCTGCAGTTGCAGTCTGCAGTTTTCCTATGATGTCAGTGGTTTGGGTATCAGGGTAATACTGGCCTTATAAAGTAAGCTGAGAAAGTGTTTTGGTAAGAGTTTATACAGGATTAATATATTTTTTTAAATGTTTGATAGAATTTACTAGGGAAGCAGTCCGAGTTTTTTGCCTTAATGATTTTTACTAATAGCTAAATTATAAAAGATTCATAATTTCCCTCAGCTCAATGAAAAGGGTACTTTGCTTGGCATAGTCTGAAAATATATATTGGGCTTTGTCTTGCTTTCTAGTTTTGTTAAGTGTGGGAGGGACATTTATGAGAAGTTGAGAACCAACATTTCCAACTGTATCCTTTAAATATAATAGGGAAATCATTGTAATATTTTGGCTAAATGTTTAAGCTTTTCTTGTTATAAAATACTCAAATGCTTTGCTTTTTCACCTTCTTTTTTGTTAATTTTAGGAACATAAAAGGAGTGTAGAAAATCAAGCAGAAAGGAAATTGGAAGGTCAGAATTCCCAAAGTCCTCATCAGATCTCACAGTGTCTCAAAACAAGCTTAGAGAAAAGTGGTCATGTTCCTGCAGTGCCAAATACACAACCAGTTCTGCAGTATGGTAATCCTTATGCAACACCAGAAACAAGAGGTTATTAAAACTTTTTTTGTTGGGGTTAGCCAAATACGGAGGTTTTTTTTGTTTGTATCTTTGTGGGATTAGAGAACTGTTTAGTTGGTATAATCAACTAATAGAAATCCTGTTTTATAACAAACAGTTTTAATGTTAACACTAACTGGCTTCATCTAGAAGCGATACACCACGAATGAGGAGTCTATTTGCTTATTACACATAGTTTAAAGGTCATTTGGGTTAAAAAGAAAAACATTTTTTTGGATACACTAAAATGGTTCTTTATATTCTGTTCATCCTTGCTATAGATAGGGATTCTCATTCTAGGACCAGGTTTTACCCTACCCTTCCAAAATTTTTATTTCAGATGGAGCAGATGGTGCTTTTTACCCAGATGAAATCCAAAGGCCACCTGTGAGAGTACCCTCTTGGGGACTGGAGGATAATGTTGTTTGCAGCCAGCCTGCTCGAAACCTAAGCCGCCCTGATGGTTTAGAAGACCCTGAGGATAGTAAAGTAAATTGAATTTCCATTTTCTGAGCTTGTCTCTTATTTTTGTCCTGTGTAGAGAGTTATGTGTGTGTGGGAAGAGAGAATATGTGCGCTTGTGTGTACACATGATTGCTTGCTTCATCTTTTTGAATAAGTTTCAGAAGGATACTTTAGAATTTATTTGGAGAATGATCTTAAAATATTGTAGTTATAAGATAGTTTAATATTTTCTAAAAATGATGCTAATTATCTTCATTCTCCCAAGAATCATTTTTTATAATTTTGTTTTTGGCTGTGCTGGGTCTTCCTTGATGTGAAGGCTTTTCTCAAGTTGTGGCATGCGGGGGCTACTCTCTTGTTGTGGTGCCCAGGCTTCTTATTGTGGTGGCTTCTGTTGTTGTAGAGCACGGGCTTTAGGGTACTTGGGCTTCAGTAGTTGCAGCACTTGGGCTCAGTGCTCATGCTTTCTGGGCTCTAGAGTACAGGCTCAGTAGTTGTGATGCATGGGCTTAGTTTTCTCTGTAGCATTGGGATCTTCCTGGATCAAGGATCGAACCTGTGTCTCTTTCATTGGCCGGTGGGTTCTATACCATTGAGCCACCAGGAAAGTCCCCAAGGTAATTTCATCTTAAAATTTTTAAAAAAGTTGAGCCGCAGTTGACCTGTAACATACTAGTTTAAGGTGTGTAGCATAATGGTACTTGTGTGTACTACAGAATAACAAGTCTAGGTAACGTCCATCATCTACAGTTATAAATTGTTTCTTTGTGATGAGAAGATTTAAGGTCTGCTCTCTTCAGTTCAGTCGCCCAGTTGTGTCCGACTCTTTGCGACCCCATGAATCGCAGCACACCAGGCCTCCCTGTCCATCACCTACTCCCAGAGTTTACTCAAACTCATGTCCATCGAGCCGGTGATGCTATCCAGCCATCTCATCCTCTGTCGTCCCCTTCTCCTCCTGCCCCCAATCCCTCCCAGCATCAGGGTCTTTTCCAATGAGTCAGCTCTTCGCATGAGGTGGCCAAAGTATTGGAGTTTCAGCTTCAGCATCAGTCCTTCCAATGAATACCCAGGACTGATCTCCTTTAGGATGGACTGGTTGGATCTCCTTGCAGTCCAAGGGACTCTCGAGTCTTCTCCAACACCACAGTTCAAAAGCATCAATATTTCGGCGCTCAGCTTTCACAGTCCAACTCTCACATCCATACATGACCACTGGAAAAACCATAGCCTTGACTAGCAACTTTCACATATATAATACAGTATTAACTGTAGTCACAGATGGTTTAATTATCAGAGAGTAATTTACTATATTCTTTTGATTATAGATGTTCTAGATTGGAAGAAACAGTGTTAATGACAATATTATGCTCTGGTGTGCATCTTTTCAGTTTTGCACTTAATATATCCCATTTTAAATTATAAGGTGAACTCTGTTATCTTTAGCTTAGAAAGAGGAAGAAGTGTGTGTATCATAGTTTTTTGAGAAATACTCTTGTAGACATCATTTGTATTTAATCTCAGCAGCACAATACTGATAGTAATTGAATCAGTTTATGTTGCATGACATTCATTTTTTCATTTAGGAGATTTCTTTACCATTTAATAGATAGACCTTTTTCTTATAGCAGCTCTTGTTGGATTTTCTGTGCATTAAGAATTTAAAAGAAATGCTTTATCGTGCTCTTTGCAAGTACAGTGGTATCATGACCTGTTTCTCATTTAATCTAGTTTGCTGCATTTAATTGCTATTAACCTTTGCAGAAACTGATCAGTGTTCAGACAGGCATGATTTTAGCCCTAGAGCTCAACACCCATAATGGAGAAAAATGTATTTCTCTCTCCTGCCTTTTGGCCTCCTGTGTCCATTACTGGGAATAATTAGGAAAACTGTCAGAACTTTTGTAGCCTATTTGAAGTCTAGAATATTATCTTACTGCTTTCTCACACCTTCACTTCACATTTTGCATATTTAATCTGATCATTCTTGGCGCAGATGTTACATGTGACAAGCCCTTCTCTGCTGTAGTCATCTGCTTCAGTTTAATTAGCAGAATGTTCTTTTTGATCTGTGTGCTTTGCCCTCCTGCAAACCCATGAGAAACAGTGTTAGAATCTTGTGCTCGTTTGCTGACATGCTTAAATTTGATAATGAGATGGAAGGGCTCTTAATAGGCACATTTTGGTAATTGTATTTTGCTATCAGAAAATTTTTCACATTAGACAAACTAATTTTATGTATATTCAGACCTATTTTTTTTTAATTCTTGTCATTATTACAACAACAAAAATCACTTGCAAATGAAATATTTTAGTAGTTTTAGTTAGAATAAAGAAAGCAGATTTGAGTTGACCTGTTCCTTTTCTCTGGTTCTTTACCCTTGGAAGTATTTAACAGCCATGGGACACAGCACCTTTGAGTTGGGGCTGAAGCAGCTACACTTAACAGCCCCCTTTAGTCATATTGCACCATATTCCCCTTACTGCCATAATCCCCTCCCTTTTTCACCAAAAACTTTGTTTCTATCAGATTAAAAAAGCCTTTTATGACTCATTCCCCTTTACCTAATAGTTATAACAGCAGTAACTGTAACACTGTAATTATGATGATGGTGATAGCTACAGATGTTTCTGTAGTTTTGACAGCCAATGCTTTAATATATTAACTCCCTAAAGCTGTCCTGTGAGGTAGGAACTGTTACTATTTCTGTTTTAAAATGGAGCAAACAGACACTAACTGGCCTGCCTCACAGCTCATAAGGCTGGTCAGTGTGCAGCCTCATCAGTTTGACTGTTGAAGCTGTGGTTTTACCACCTATTTATCTAAACCAGAGGTTCCCAGACTTTCTCAGTTCATGGCACCTTCAGTATCAGTAAATTTTTTTTTTTCCATAGAATCTCATAGGCCAAAAGAACTACTAATGATTTCCTAACAAATGTGTAGTAGTTAACCATTTGAAAAAAAAAAATACACATGAAAGAAAGTTATATTTTTCTTAAATAACCTGTTCCAAATGGGATATATGTAGCTGTTGACCACCAGATAACTTCTCAAACCTTGAAATCAGATTGGACAAGTCATTTTCATTTCCTATTTCACATTGGTTTTCACCAGGCACCTGCTTTATATCTTAGCAACTGCCAAAATCTTAAGGGTAAGATGTCATCGAAAGGAACATAGCACTGTCTGATGTTGAAACTGTGAGCTGTCTTGAAATAGTTGTTTACATGGTATCTGACAGTTAAAAAATTAAAAATAATTCATAGTACCTCTGTGAATTTGGTGTGGTGCCCTAGCCTTCTGCACACTTTTTGGAATCATGGTATAAACCCTTACTACCCAAAAATTTTATTGGATCAACACCATTGTCATCTCCTGGGAACTTGTTAGAAATCAGGAATCTTTGCCTCCACTCCAGATCTGCAGAGAATCAGACAAAATCTTTTAGTAATCATATTCTTAATAAAGTTTGAGTACACTAGGATGTTTAGACCAAAGTCCATCAGGCAAGGCTGAATTACTTTCTTTAACACACATCTCACTTTCCAGTTGTTTTTATGTCTTTGTATAATGTGTTTCCCTTCCACCCGTACTAGCTTTACTTCCTTCTCTATCTCTGAAAGACTCAACACATTCTATTTTTTTTATCTTTTTTTTTTAATTAGTTGGAGGCTAATTACTTTACAATATTGTAGTGGTTTTTGCCATACATTGACATGAATCAGCCATGAATTTACATGTGTTGCCCCATCCTGAACCCCCCTCCCATCTCCCTCCCCATCCCATCCCTCTGGGTCATCCCAGTGCACCAGCCCTGAGCACTTGTCTCATGCATCCAACCTGGACTGGCGATCTGTTTCACACTTGATAATATACATGTTTCGATGCTGTTCTCTCAGATCATCCTACCCTCGCCTTCTCTCATAGAGTCCAAAAGTCTGTTCTATACATCTGTGTCTCTTTTTCTGTCTTGCATATAAAGTTATTGTTACCATCTTTCTAAATTCCATATATATGCGTTAATATACTGTATTGGTGTTTATCTTTCTGGCTTACTTCACTCTGTATAATGGGCTCCAGTTTCATCCATCTCATTAGAATTGATTCAAATGTATTCTTTTTAATGGCGGAGTAATATTCCATTGTGTATATGTACCACAGCTTTCTTATCCATTCGTCTGCTGATGGGCATCTAGGTTGCTTCCATGTCCTGGCTATTATAAACAGTGCTGCGATGAACATTGGGGTACACGTGTCTCTTTCAGATCTGGTTTCCTTGGTGTGTATGCCCAGAAGTGGGATTGCTGGGTCATATGGCAGTTCTATTTCCAGCTTTTTAAGAAATCTCCACACTGTTCTCCATAGTGGCTGTACTAGTTTTCATTCCCACCAACAGTGTAAGAGGGTTCCCTTTTCTCCACACCCTCTCCAGCATTTATTGCTTGTAGACTTTTGGATAGCAGCCATCCTGACTGGCGTGTAATGGTACCTCATTGTGGTTTTGATTTGCATTTCTCTGATAATGAGTGATGTTGAGCATCTTTCCATGTGTTTGTTAACCATCTGTATGTCTTCTCTGGAGAAATGTCTGTTTAGATCTTTGGCCCATTTTTTGATTGGGTCATTTATTTTTCTGGAATTGAGCTGCAGGAGTTGCTTGTATATTTTTGAGATTAATCCTTTGTCTGTTGCTTCATTTGCTATTATTTTCTCCCATTCTGAAGGCTGTCTTTTCACCTTGCTTATAGTTTCCTTTGTTGTGCAAAAGCTTTTAAGTTTCATTAGGTCCCATTTGTTTATTTTTGGTTTTATTTCCTATATTCTGGGAGGTGGGTCATAGAGGATCTTGCTGTGATTTATGTTGGAGAGTGTTTTGCCTATGTTCTCCTCTAGGAGTTTACATATAGTTTCTGGTCTTACATTTAGATCTTTAATCCATTTTGAGTTTATTTTTGTGTATGGTGTTAGAAAGTGTTCTAGTTTCATTCTTTTACAGGTGGTTGACCAGTTTTCCCAGCACCAC